CGTTATTGAGATTATAATATTCCTGGCATGACATATTATACATTATTTAACCATTAGCTCTTTCTCTAATGTTGTTAAATCCGATTTCTCTCCTTTTTTCCAGGCAGTCCTCTTCAGGCTAAAAATGCGCTCGGATGAGTAGAATGAGGTAAGGAGAAGTTTTGGCGAATCATAAAAAATAGAGAGAATTAAAATCTTTTCAAATAAGACATCAATGTCTTTCGGTATTTTAAATATATTTATTAAATTACAAAAACCTTAATTGATGGTTTCTGTTCCCATGTCATAATATTTATACAATTGTAAAGAGTTATTAAAATCAAATTTTGATTGTAAATATTCTAAAATTGTCTGAATAAAAATACCTGCATTATTTAAATATGTATTAATTAGAGTATTATTTGAACATTTTAATATAATATTTTTAGCAATAGCGCCATAAAATTTATTTTCAATTTTTAAATATAGAGATGAACAGAGCTGTAGCATAATTTTGTGAATCATTTTGATAAAGAATATTCTGATTGCAACTGAATATTAACTGCATGCAGTAGATTTCTTACATGTGAAAAGAATCCCAAATATACTTCTGCCATTTCATATTAGAAAAATTTTTTCAAATTTTAGGACAGCCTTTAAAATCTTTATTTAAGAAGTATTTTTTTAAGGGTTTGTAAAATTTTAAAATTCTATCGATGGCAGGTATTAATGACAACCACCTGATAGGTATATATCGCAACAACTCACACCATTCCAAATCAGACCATTCCACCAACTCTTTTAATTCATTAACTCTTTTAGTTGATGAACTAAATTCGTTAAAATATTTCATCACAATCATTTCGACATCAACAGATAGTACATTCATTGCCTTCTTGCAAGAATTATTTAGTATATGGCATATACAGCCAATTAGTATTAATTCAATATTGTGCTGCCTCATTTCAGTAACTTTGGTTTTTGCCAAAATTTACGGAGGCATTATCAGCGCAGATAGCTGACATGCAATTCATTGATAACCCTGAATCAGCTATATTTACATTATGTGGTTGGCTACATCGTTGGATTTTTCACTATTTGAGGACTTTTTTTTAACAGTTTTATTGAAATGTTCTTATTCTTGTTGAAATTGCAAAGGATCGAGGGAAATGTTTTAATATTTCCATTATTAGATACATTTGTTAGAATAGCATATGGATGCGCATCTTTCAAATCGTCTAGAATTGACCTCTAGGATTCAGGTACCAAAACATTGTGATAGCCTTGCTCATTTTTATTGCCACAAGTAAGGTTTGCACTTATATTGGAGTCGTTAAATATCATGAGAAAAAGATTCTACCCACATTGTAATGATATATATATAGAGCTCTGTGAATGTTGAACTACATAATAGATATATACGATTTCCGCAAATATAGTTTCATTTTGAGAATATTTTTGTATTGCAATCGATGTTGATATACTCCCCTGTACTGACTAATATTAATGAAATAATGTTGATTTATTATTGGATAAAAATAAAACAGGATAGAAAGAAATTTACAAACTAGACATGTTTTTCGAATAAATATTTAAAATTTAATTTAAAAATATAAAAATAATCAATTAATGTTTCAAAATTATTATTTACATATTAAAAACGTTTAAAATACTTTTTTTTTTAAATCGCGGGAGAAATTAAATTGCGGTAGATTTCCAATTGCCGTAGTTTTGCGGGAGAGAGATATTTGCGTGTAAACTAAAAAATTGCGGGAGTCCCGCTGATGGGGAGAGACATGGCAACCCTGTTCATACTTAAAGGTTGCTACTGTCTATTTCTCTTATTAAAATTAGTTTTTGTTTATTGACTAGAAAAACTGATTGATGGAATAGTAAGTACTAATCTGGCATTTCTATGGTATGAGCTCACCCAAAAATATTTGTTTTTTCGCATGTTGCCAATCGTGGCAATTTTATCTTATTTTGTCGAAAAACTATCTAATGAATTAAAGAATCAATGTAATAAATTTCAATTATTGATTTAAGTTCCAGATTAAATGCTTCCAGAAATTTGGTTGGTTTTACGCTTTAATGGGAGATATAGATTTTATTTCTCTTATAGTACGATTACCTTTTTGTGTGTGAAAAAAATGACTGAAGAATTAATAAATATTAGCGCAAACCAGCTATTTTCCATTCTATCAATAATGCCAAATTAGGCAATTTTTCTTATTTTGCTAATAAACTTTTTCTTTATACTGTCTCTTAAACGAATTAAATTATAATTAATACGGAACATCGATAAAATTTTCTGAATAAATTATTTCCGTCGCTTAAATCATAGATTTGCCAAAATTTTGTTACTAATAGTTTTTTCCTTTTACGAGCTACTATACTCGTTTAAATACTCAATTGGTACAAATAAAGCAAGAAATAATGATATAATTTACAATTAGTTCGTAGAACTATTCAGCCGCCAAATTTAACGGCGCTGATATTAAAATATATAAATCTTGTTTATTCCTCTGTGATACACAAGTTGAAGCATATAAAGAAGTTACTCAGAATTATAAAACTATTATGGTAATTATAGATATAAATAGCTTAAACCTTTGATTTTGAATGATACGATCAAGTTAGAATATTTAGAAAGAATTAAATAAAAATGTAAATATAAGCCTAAAAAATATCTAAAAATTTATTTTTAATTCTACATTCAAATGCTGGCTCAGAAATGAGTTTAATGAATATGATTAGGCGAAAAAATTTTTCTTCGGTCTCATTTGATTTATTAGAGGCCGAATTAATGGTAAAGCAGAATTTTGACATGAATTGCGAAGAGTTAAAATTTATTTCATATATAATAATCTTTTAAATAAAATAAATTCCTTCCGATAAATATGTAGATTAGGACCTAATTTTTATATATTTTGACTTTATATTCAAATTCAAATTCAAATTTAAATTTGTAAATTATAATTTGAAAAAAATTATTCACCAATATTTATATATAAAAGGATTGCAGTTGTGGCGCTTTCCCACTTTTTATCCTTTAGTCATTAAAAATCCCACCTCACTCTTAGAATATGGGAGGTATGGCCGGGCCTAAAAATTTTTGCAATTTACAAAATGAATGAGAAAATTGAATACACCTATTTAATATAATTAAAATATAGCCACTTTTTATAATTATTTTTTATTATCCTTCATTTATATATTCCTCTCAAAATTTAGAAAATGTTTTTAACAACCCCCCCCCCCCCACCCTTGTCGTGGTAAAATATGTAAAAGTAAATAAATAAACACTTAACCCATTTTGCCCTGATTTCCCGATATTGGAATATCTTTATTTTCTTGATTTGGAACATTTTATATTTATTTTCAAAAAATCCTGATTTTTTTAATTCCATTTTATTAGAAAAGATGAGTAAAAGTGCTTACAAATTGAGTAGAAGCGTTTAGCGATGTTTTCACAAATACGCTATGATTTAAATTGAACTGGTATTATTTTAAAAAATGATGAAAACTATTTTACGTTTTTTAATTTTTTTTTATATTGTTTAGTTTGACTTGTGAAATCAGCAAAAATAAAAAACTAAAATAATTGAAGATCTAATGATTTATTTCCATAATTTATTCTTCATAAATATTACAAATTTATGTAATCTAGAATATTTTGAATTTTTTTTTTGATTAATCATAACTTTGCAGTTATTTCTATTTATTAAAATGCGAATAGAAGAAAAAGGAAAGGTCATATATTCAAATGAATTAGTTACTATTATATCAAAGTTATATCGATGTGCATTATCTCAAAATTGTAATTAGGAGGCATTAATTATCAGTAAAATTTTCTATAATTAAAATAATCTGAGAAAATCAATAAAAAATTATTAGCTTTCAGTATATTTTTTTTATCTAGATTAGAAATAAAGTATTACTTTAAATGACATAAAGCACTCTTTTAAATTTTATGTTGGGGGGGGGGAGGGTTAACTTATTCTGCTAAAAACTTAACCCAAAATGTCCGCTCCATACTTACAACCATGAGTGAGTGAGACCAGGAAGACTAATATATTTTCTATCACATCAGATAGAGGTTACATGCTTATTAAATAAACAATACGTAATAAAATATTCTTAAAACATTAGCGTTTATGATTTAAGAAACTTCGGTTGGTAAATTGATATTGAATATATCGATTTCACTTAAAATGAATTCACAATTTTCGCGGTCATGCGCTCGTTATAATAATTTCGCGCAAATACATTCGCGGTAGAAAATTCGCTATAAATGGTTCGCGATTAAAGTTTCGCTATAACGAGTTCGCGATCAAAGTTTCGCTAAAATGTATTCGCTCTAAAGTATTCGCGGTTTAGGTTTCGCGGAAATAAATTCGTGATAATGAGTTCGCGATCAAAGTTTCGCCAAAATGTATTCGCTATAAAGTATTCGCGGTTAAAGTTTCGCGAAAATAAATTCGCTATAACGAGTTCGCGATCAAAGTTTCGCTATAATGTATTTGCGGTCATGGTTTCGCGGAAATAAATTTGCGATAATAAGTTCGCGATATTGTCTTCGCTATAAAAGTTTCGCGGAAAAAAATTCGCGGAATTGGTTTCGCGATATTGCCTTCGCTATAAAATTCCTTCGCGATAAACGACATTCGCGATAAAAGTTTCGCGAAAAAGTGTTTCGCGATAAAAGTTTCGCTGAATTGACCTGATACGTAAAATTATGCTGTCATTTATTATGAAAAAATATTTTATAGGATTGCATTTTATGTTCTGTTTGCGATTTAGTACTCTATATAATAATATGCTATACTTATTTAATTAATTGTTATAAAAATTGGTATTCAGATAATAAAATATATTACGCTCCTAACAAATTCCAAGATTTTAAATACACGTCTATTCAAACTAGAAATGGTAAAATATTTAAAAATTCCTATAAAGAGGTTACATACTTCTATAACTGTACGAAAATTATTAATTAAATAAAATATTGAAGAAAAAACCTTTACAACCATCTTCGGCGCCAAACCCATAATGATTAGGAGTGCAAGCGTCACAAGATCGGCCGGATATACCGGGCTTGCAGAAGCAAGAACCTGTCTCTGAATCGCAAGTGATGTTAGAGGATCCATGAGGGTGGCATCCACAAGACCGGCAGCCGGTACCAGACCGGACATCCCAGAAACCAGGTTCGCAGAGGTCGCATCGACGACCTGTTACCCGGTCCAGGCAGGGGCAATAACCAGTTTTAGAGTTACAAAGAAGACCCGTAATTGAAGCAGAATCAGATTGAACGGCGATTTGCTGAGTCCCGCTAAGGTAACAATCACAGGCTAAGAAAAAGTTTAAAGAAAAACGTGTAGGGGGTTGACAGTTGGATGGATACAAAAAAATAGAATACGTAATATAAATTAATTTCTATAAATACATCCGATCATAATTAAAAAGAGAGAGTCAGAAGTCAATTTCAACAGCCTATATTAATGTAATATATTCTTAATAAAATTATATAATTTTTTATCTAGATATAATATTAAATGAGTTTATTATTCAAGTTTATTTAAATAGTCTTTTTCAGATATATATTTTTATATTCTTTAAACGTTCATTTAGTATTATTTAACAATTTAATTTCTATACCAGATCACATCGAGATTGGATCATTAAAAAATATTAAATAATAGTTCAATTTTCCATAGATAGTAATTTTTGTATTGATATATATATATAATATATCGATTTTACAGAAATAATTATTAATATCATAATATTAAAAAAAGAGAAATAAAAAACATTTCTTTCGGTTTTGGAAATTGAGTTATTAAATGAGTTTAGACTTATAAAATATTAATTTAAATTAAAAGATAAACCACTCGGGTCATGTCTCTAATTAAAAAAAATAATCTAATAGAAGAGTAGACAGAAATTGTATAGGAAAGAAAAAGTAGTAAAAAACCATATATAGACTTTTTTAATAAATATTTTTGGCGGATGAGGAAAATGAACATGGAATTAATATTTATATTATATTTACGTTTGCATTTATCACCGACCTTGCGGGTGTCGGCCAGTGCGTCGCCGTAGAACCCGGGAAGACAAGAATCGCAACGATGACCGCCTGTGTTGTGAATGCAGCGCAAGCAGTGGCCCGTCAAGCGATCGCAGTTACCTATCGAGTTTGGGTCCATGTTACCATTGCATCGGCATGCTGAGCAGGGCTGACCGGTAGAGGGACGCCCGTAAAAACCGTCAGCACACATCTCGCACAAGTTACCTTGAATCGGATTAAATTGTGTACGATAAAAATAAATAAGATTTGGCTTCATAATATGCGAAAAAAATAAATGTCCTGTCCTATTGTACATAATGTAATTTTTATATAGGAAATAAACTTCAATCTAAAATTTGAATATTTTCTTAATAATATTTAGCTGAAAACAATATCGAAAGTTTAAAGGGAGAATAGCTCATACTGTTTCTACGTTTTAACAAAGACCGATAAAAAACATGCATGAATATTGTTGACATTTCTAAAAATATAATATAAGAAATGAATATTATTAATGTTTCATTTAAAAAATAAGAGGTATTTTGTTTATTTAAGACTTATTTTTAGGGAGATTTAAATTTCCCTGATGATGGAGATCTAAATGAAGATAATAATAATCATTATTTGTAATGTCCGTGAAAAGATAAAGATGAGACTATTTGATTTATAATATAGCTACGGTTATGAATAATTAAATCCTACTTTGTTTAATCTAGCCAAAATTTTGGTTACCTTAGATAAAGGAAGGTGAAAAATTTTCCATATAGGGATGACTGTATGATTTTTGTCAAAAAATGTAGTGGATTATTTGTTTAAAAAATACAGTTTTAAATTTAGGGTGATATAATTTTAAAAATAATAAAATACTCTAATATAAAAAAATTATTAGTGATTATATGTTAAAATTTGTTAACAAATTTATGTCAAACCCTATTGTAAGACTTCTCCGCCCAAAAGTACCTATTACTGATGATATCTAAGTTATTTTTAACTAAAAACCAAATCGGTTTGAATATTGGGTTTAATATTAATAACTAGGTAATGATTCACTCCCAAAATCCTACCTTCAGCCTCATTGTGACGGGGGAGTAGCAACGGCGGCTAATGGAAGTTTAAATATTTTTATGGCAGTGATGGCAATGTATGTGGCAGAACAAACTGTGGTATGGACGGATGATGAATAGTGAAAACTTTGAAGTGAAGGTGGGACTTCATCGGATCCCTGCTGAATCCATTATTATTTATCTTAGTAATGAATGTGGTGGCTAGAGAGATGCGTGAAGGATTTCCCTGGGAGGAGCTATTATATGCAGAACGTTGTATTAATGGTAAGGGAAAATTAGTAGATGGAAGATGGTCATGGAAGCAAAGGGCCTGAAAATGAATGAAGTAAAAACAAAGGTGATGATTGGTTGGGATAATCTGAAGATGGAGGAATCCGGCAACTGGCCTTGTGGTGTATGCGGGAAAGTAGTTGCTAGAAATTCAATCGAATGCACCAGATGCCAGAAATGGGTGCATAAAAAATGTAGCAGGAAAAAGGGAACTCTGGTGTTAGCAAGAATACCCTTTATTTGTAGAATGAGCTTAAAAGGGGTGCGTAATATTGATAAAGTAGAAAATGGTGATTTGGATATTGGTAATGGGACCCTGGGAAAAGAGTTTTGCAATTTTGGTGCTAAACGCAAATAGTGGTGTAGATCCTGCTGTTGTTGCAAGGGTCACACAAGCATGGTAAAAGTTCAGAGAAATGCCGTCTATTGTAACAAATAGGAAAGTTTACGCAAGCTGTGTGAAGAGTTGTTTATTTTAGGGCGGCATAACATGTGCAATGAAAGCGGCCCACGAAGCCAAATTGGAAAGAACAGATATGAGGATGATTAGATGAATGTGTTGGGTATCCCTGAGATAGAAAAAAACTAGCAAGGAATTGTGAGCAAGAATAGATATATAAGTGTTTAAAGTGGATACGATGGTTTGGACACGTGGAGCGTAGGACAAAAGATGACTTGGTAAAGAGATGCACCTTGATAGAAGTAGGATGATCAAGACCTAAAGTAAGGCCTAAGATGAAGTGTGTTGTTTTGATTGAATGATTATAGTTGTATTATTTATATTTATATATAAAATAATTGACGTGAAAAGAATATATATGTTAAAAAAAAAGTTTATATTATTTTTTTTGAAATATCGTTTTTTTTTTGTATTTTAAAAAATTGCAAATTTGTATATAGTGGAAATTATTATTGTAGTTTATATAAAATAAAATAACCTGTCGCTCGTCTTATTTTGTTTTTAATAATTATCTTAAACAGTCCAAAAAAAGTGGATAAAGGTAATAGCGGCGGATATGAGAAAAATAAATATTGAAGCACAGGACCGTCAAAAATGGAAAAAAAAATCAGAGGGAAAACTGGTCAACCTGGAAATCGCCATTAAACGAAGAAGAGGTAATGATTGGTTATTATGAGATGAAAATTGAAATTAAGTTTTATTGATCATTTAATGTCTATTTAAAAATTTTAAATAATTTTTCAAAATGATTACGGGTTCCAATTTTTTCTATTCTTCAAAAAAATCGCCAATAATGTATTTATAAAGAAAGAAGGAGCTATATTTTTAGATTTAAATCTAATAAATATTATATTTTGTTCGAAAAAATATAAATCAATTTAATACCTATATTTTTTTCCTAAAATATTTTAATTCGAAACATCCTAAAAAAAATATTCAAATTATTTCTAAATCAAATATTTCTTTATTTTATTTAAAATTTAGTATAAATTATTTTTTTTAAAAAAAATTGACGTTTATGCCTATCCAATAAAATGCATGAAACTTTAAAGAAACATATTTTAGCAAAGGCTAGTGAAAAACTATTTCAAAATATTGATAAGTTTTTTTGTATCAACATTTAAAAACCTTTGGGATGTAATTATTACCTAGTAATAGGATACAACCCAGGACTAAAAAATGAGTTTTAAGATCAAATTATTTTAATGTACACTGATTCAATTGCTCGTTATAGCTTCGGAGGAATTGTTAAAAGTACCGCTGCCAAGTCTTCAAAGACCCGATAAAAATCAGATCCTAACCCCATATCAAATATTGTTAAGGTAAGCACTTTCATTATATAACAAATCTAAAGTACAATAAGGAGAAAATGGCCTTTGGAGGATATACTTCTGCAAGACCATTATCAGGTATTCCAAAATTCATGCGATAAATCCTGCTGATAATATAAGACTTAATATTAAATTATATTTAAGTTTCAAAAATTTTTTTAACAAGAGTTGCATATCCTAATATTAATAGATAAACTTGTGTTATGATGAAAAGTGAAAGATAGGATTTAGAATCGACAAAAATGATACAAGTCAAAATTAAATTCTTGCATCCCTGTGAAGCCACAGTCACGTATAAATTCCCCATGATATATGATATTCATAATACATAACTGGCCAATCCTTCTACCCTTATCGGGTAGACTTATTTTATTTATATTCCATGAAAATTTCAAAAGCAAGTTAGACTTTAAATTCCTTTAAATGAATTAAACAAATTTTGTTATAGAATTAATAATATATTTTAAGGATAACTTACAATTTACCGAAATTATATGAGGACAGGAGAAAATATTGTATTAAATCGATCCAATTTAGGTGATATATGCTTAAAATGTTTTAAAATAAATAAATGACTTTTATTAGATTACATTTTTAAATACATTTATTATTATCAATACTTTTTTGAAGAAGATACCAGCCTTTCTAATTACTGCTGAAAAGTAAATACACATTAAAAACAAAAAACGGAGCGCATAGTCATTTTGAAAATTAGATTAAATTTCAAAAAATTACAAATAAAATAAAAATTTATTATCGATTTATTTAATAACAACTTAAATAATATTAGTAAGTAAAAATTATTTATTAAGAGCTAAAATTTCGTTTTTATTTTAACTAAGATGTATAAGAGCCAGGGATTTAACCTGAACTGTCAAACCTGCCTTAGTCATTATTTATCAAACGCAAACCGTTAAAAAATTTGTCCCCAAACCTGAACCTATAAAAATGTATGTGAACCGGTTTGGACTTCTTTTATTTTAACTACTGCTTCCGTGAATTTGGTCTTATCTTGGAAGAACCCATTCTAAAGATCGTAATAGACTTAACAATAGCCGCGATGATAAGTTATTTTCTATAATATACAATTTATATTTATAACAAAAAAAATTGATACTACATATAATCATCCAGTTATTTCAACACCTTAAATTATAAAATGAAAACATAACATCAGCAGATAGCGATATCATTATAGAAAACAGCTTGAGTTGAACACTTCATTCTTCGATTAATTAATTTCATATATATTTCGATCATTATAATTTCAAGTATTAAATAAAAGTTTATACATCAAAATTATTATATTGCAGTTTAAGCCTTCCTTTTTGATATTTTACACTATTTAGTATATCTAATTCATTAAAATGCATAGCTCATTTTAGGGCAAATAGTTTTTTTGATTTTTAGCTAATTTGGGACATTTTTACAGTGTTCCCCATCCCTATGATTCCCAGGTATTTTATATTTGATGGTTTTGACAGATTTTTTTTGTGGCCTAATGGGTAAGATGTACGCTTGGAAACACGAGTATGAACAAGGACGCAGGTTCAATCCTGGTTTTGACAGATAAACATCAGTAATTATTTTTAGATTTTTGTATATTGTTATTGGATGGTGCCAATTACTTAAGTTAGCATATAGAAGTGTTCTCAGTTATAAAATTTATTTTTCTTCCCTATAGAGAAATAAGTTAACAAAAGAGTATCTTAAAAAAATATTTTTTAACTAGTGATAAAATTTATAAAATAGTTTTACTTTAATTCTAATAGGCTTTTATGCAAAAAGTTTTGAACCGAGTTTCTAAGTTTCAACCCGATCTGATTATTCATTGCAAATAGAACCTGACCCTTTATTTTTATATTAACCTAAACATGATACTGATATTCGTTATGGTTTTTTATTTTATATAACTAAACGCTTTTTGAATTATTTAAGTCATATAAAATATTTTTTATAATTTACCAGTATATCCATCAGGACAATCTGTGCAAATAAGCTGCTGGGTGCGGTCATCTTGAAAACATTCTGATCCCCCAGGACATGGGCATGGTTGGCAAGCGGTATCTGGTCTTCTCTTTAGATATAGAACATATAAAACAAATTTAAACATTTTAAGTCATGCATAATCCAGCAATATAAATATATTATAATATAAAGTTTATAAAAATCTATAATATATATAAAAGCCGTGTCACACCCACAGTGTGACAATTTATAATATAATATATATTTTAAAAATCGTGAATTTTGAAAAGCGACTGTGGCTCGATCGGCAAGAACGTTGCTTACAAATCTGATAGCTTTGGGTTCAAATCCCAGCAATGATCGATTTTTATCTCAATCCAACGTGGTGGTTCCGTTCTTTGGGAAGGGCATAAACTATCCCATTGGAACTGAAAATGTTGTCATTTGCAGACCTTGGTGGTAAATGCATGGGAAAATAAAAGTGGCAGACGCATATCTTAAAAATAGATTTTTTGGCAGAGATAAAATCCTATGATCTGCTGTTTCCGATGTCATCCTGACTAGAGGTCTGTTGGTGCACCTCTCTGCTCATTTATTTAAAATTTTTGTTTAACTTGCGTGTCCAATGTTTAAAAATTATTATATTGGTTGATTTGGCTTTTTATGTATTATTTTAATGTTATTTACTTAGACTTATAAATTATGAAATAAAAAAATGATATCTAATAATAAATAAAAGTCAGTTATTCATTTTGACTGAAATATATTTCAAATTCACCTACCCATTGTTTTAAAAATATTTTTTAACCCGCCCACTCACCAATCCAATATCTTTCAGTCAATCTACAGAATAGGCGGGTAAGTTAGACAAAACCTACATCTAACAAAAATAAATTTTTTAGGTTTTAAATTGCAAATGGTATAAAAATTCATTTAGGAATATATTTTTATTGAGCACATAAATACAATTTTGACAGATTTTATGAAATTAATAAAATGAAAATTCATATGTTCCTATGTTATATTTATATTGAAGGTAATAAATATATCAGAGACCTGTATGTACCATATGCACAGCCGGCCTTGGATTTTTTTAAAAAAATTTTGGCATGGCCCGGTCTTTTTTAAAAATATATTATATTTATTTAAAATTTTTATAGATAATAATGGCTATTTAAAATATACAACCCGACCTGGATATCTTTAAAATTTTTAGGCCCAGCGCGGGGATATTTAAAAATTAAAAACCTAACCTCTGTACCTGTAATATATTTTCTTATAATAAAGATCATCTTGAAGAATGGATCCATATCATGAGAAGATGTGTAAACTTATTCAAAACTCTGTGGATAACAATTTACCAAGTAGTGCCTTGTTGCTTCCATTGTTAATAAAAAAAACGCTTAAGGAAAGATCCATTCCGACAATCTTATAAATATTTGCATTTTATATAATTACTAGCTGATGTCCCACAAGAATAACAAGGAATTAGTATTCTCCTTAATTTGATGATGGATAAATCAGAAATAAGCCTATATGAGGTGTGAATCAGAAATTTACCTCATTTTGATGAGAGTTAATTCCAAAATTTTCATTAATATATATACTTATTGCATTCAATATAAACAAATATTTGAAACATGTTTGAATATACTTTTTTTAATTATTTTAATTTCCTTATTTTTTTAATTTTTATTATTTATGTAAACAATAAAAAATTTAATCTTGCTAGATGAGGGTTTTGTATATTGTTATCATGAAAACAGATTTTGGATTAGGACTTATTAAGAATGAGTCAAATTGGCTTCAAGAAATTAAAAACCGATTATTCTAGGAAGAGCATCACAGTGTTCCATCATCAAGATACCAAAAATTTATATCCAAACCAAATTTAATTTTAGATAATGGATGAAAATAAACGATGACCTGTACTCCCTGTTGCATCATTTCGTCAGAATCTATGTCAAGTGGGCTGAATAAAGAAGTTTTAATGTTACAGTATGTCTCTAAGAATTTTGAATAAACAGGAAATTTGGAATAAAAACAATTTATGAAATGATTTGTTTCGAATATGATCGCAGGTATCTTTTTAAGAGTATTTATGAAGATTTTAAAAGCATTTAAATGATTCTTTGAGATGAATGTAGATTTTATATGAAGTGAGAGGGCAAAAACCATTGCGTTTGAATGTGGAAAATTTGTTAAAAGAATTGATAAATATCATAATTCACAAATCATATTTTTTTTTATTCCATAACATATTTGGTCTTTTCTCTAAAAATTTATAGAAATCGAAGAATGAATATGGATAATTTATTCCTCTCATTTTACTATTCTGATTCATCCATCGTCAAATGAAGGTAAAATTTATTATTTATCCATGAGGAAAAAATTCTGATCTTGATGGGTTAACAACTAGTGTTATAATAATCAGCGATGGTGCATTCCAAAAAAATCCGTAAAACATTGAAGCCAAATTAATTTATTGTTGCAACAAAAAAACCAAGGCTGAAGTGATAGTTTTTGGCTAAAAATCAAGTTTAGTCAATTTTTTAGCAGTTAAAAAATTGAGCAATTATCCAACTCAACTCTACATATAATTACTCTTCCAAATTTAATTTCCCTCAAGTTTTTGTATATAAATAAAATATATTGTAATTTATATATGATTATACGGTTCTGGGCAGTAGATCCTTAGTATCACTCCTCGACTGTTCCTCTCGGCCATCCAGGTATCGGTTTGCTGAAAAGAGGGCATCACCATAATATCCAGGAGCGCAAACCTGACATTGAGGTCCGGCAGTGTTATGGGCGCAAATGCAAGCACCACTTTCGGTATCGCAAGTTTCGGAATGGGAGTTGCATTCACATGGCAAACAGTTAGCGGTAGAGCCCCCAAAGGACCTATCTCGCTTGTAACCGGCTGCACAAGATTCACAGAATTGGCCAACGTAACTATAAGGCAAAGGATATAAATATACCGTTAATTGTGAATGGAAATATAAAGCCAGTATGATTATAAGGATATAGAATTTTTAAGATAGTATTAGGAAAATAAAGAAATATAAAGGGTGAAGGTAAATGTAGTAGAGGTTGACACAGCCGGGTCTGCAAGATGTACATGTAACACCTTAAAATAACCCTGGCAGATCAATAAAAATTAGAAGCGATTATGATTATAAACATATTGATCGCAAAAAATAGACTTTTACAAAATAATAAAAGGGTAAAACTTTTTTTTTATATAAAAATAAGGAACTACCCTTTAGGACAGGTACAAAACTCGACCCAATGAGCTGGTTTACCACTCAGAGTTCCAAGTTTAGCAGATTGGAGAATAAAATCGTCTATAAATCCGGCACCGACAGTTTTATCAGGGGTTCCACGATCTACCTGGCCAGAACGATTCGCGTCGCGTGGGGATGAGTAAATGGCACGGACTCGGATTGCAGTTAGATTGGAAAGGAGACGGGCAAAATCGTAGAAGGTCAATTGTGGGCTCCATCCAAACTCAGGGGCCTGATTGAGGCGGAATCGGAAAGTCTGGAAACGGTCGGCAACAGGGAGCGGATTATTTTGGGCAAATATGGGCGCGCCAACCTTGAGGGATGGTTCAGATCCGGTCGACTCACTACCCGTGAAGGAAACAAGCTGTACATCGTATCGACTAGGTCGAAGAGAACCCTCGGGAGCATTCACCCTCAATTTGAAGGTCAGGTATCGGTTGTAAGAAAAGCGCTGATCGCCTAAGTATTTTTCTAAATTGAGAAAAAAAATTGTAGGAAATAAAAATTAAGTATATAAAATAGTCAAGTGATATTTTTATGACTATCAAATATAATATATAGTACTACCTTGTTATAGTTAACTGACAAGTGGCTAAAAAATGTATTTATTATTGGATAAAAGTGTCTAAATATAATTTATTTCAATTTTAAACTATTATATGAATTAACTTGATTTAAACTTCGAAAATTATTTGCGAATATTTCGATACAAACTTTAAACCACTTAAAATTCAATTAAGCATCTTAAAACTTATTGACAATGATTGAAATAAAAAAAAGGAAATTCAATAGATAAGGCTCAACAAGCTCATATTGCAAAGATAGCTAGAAAGCATAACATTATATGTAAAGATTCAAAACTAACAATTCAGAGTAGTAATATTAAATTTTACATGATTAACATACTGTACCAGAACAAGAACTATCCTTTTTGGGGGAAAAACATAGGAACTCCTGGACCTAGTCAATTTAGCTATAAACGATATTTGCATATCTGGAAAAATAGATCTTAAATAATTTTTTCTATTAGTGGATTAATACTTAAGGACAAGAGGGTACATTTATGTTCCAATAATCTTGATAAAATCATATTTTTTTATAACTATCATATATCTAAATATCTTTCCACTATTGATAGTTCTAAAGGTATAATAGTTAAGTGGCTAAAGTTTTGCCTAAGTATAGGGTACACGAACCTTAGTATGTATACTAAATTTTATAAAAATCAAAAAGGGTTGTCAGAAAATATATTTTTTTTATTACATGGGTAATAGATATTAAATTTTAAAAATAAACCTTGAAAGATACTCGTTAATATTTAGAACTTTGCTAAAAAGAATAACATTATAAATTAAATATAGGTATGATTTGGCAATGAAATCAAAATAACCATATAAAGGCAATTATGTTCAAATTAAATTACCAGGTGCGGAGAAATAAATGGGCCCATCATTGAAGGCTTCATCACCTTCAATTTCCCGCACTGGTGAAACAACGCCCAAATTTTGGTCGTAAGAATCGTGAGAATAAGGAATCTCTATTTCACGTTCGGCCGACAAAAATATGGCCCGCCATCGTTGTGGACCATTAGAAAAATCACTTAGCAAATCGCGAGCCTCGTAACGCGGGCTGGCGGCACATATGGAAGAGTGCCCAAAGCAATAACATTCTACACAACCAAACCGGTCGTCTGCCAGTGGATTCGACAAATAATTGTCAAATGTCATTATGGAAGCGGAAAGCGGAGGCGGCGATGGTGAGTTATAGCGTCGATCTGAGAAGAGGCCGGCATCAAAGTGGCCCGGTTTGCAGCGATCACATGCTTGACCCTCCACGTTAGACTTACACACACATTGGCCAGTGTCGGATCGGCATCTAGGTGGTCGATCTAAGCTACCTACCTCGCTGCATCCACAAGGACGACATCCAGTTTCTGAAAACCCAAAGAAGTTGGCAGCACAAACATTGCATTTATCACCAGCTACGCCAGTCTTACAAGGACATTTCCCCAGTGAATTGCATTGCATGCCCAGAGAGCCTGTCGTTTACATGTGTAATATGTTTGATTAAGTTATATCTTTAATTTTATAAAAAAAAATGGCGATATTACATTTATAAAAATGTAGAGTGTTGCGTAATCGGCTAATTTTAGCCGACCACAAAAGGGCTTAGCAGAGATTTTAGGTGAAAAAATCGGCAAGGCCTAATTAGGTAAAGCCTAAAAATCGGCTAAGCCTAAAAATCGGCTAAGCCTAAAAATCGTCTAACTAAGCCTATATAAATCTGCTAAAATTAAATTAGTCAAAATTCTGCATCGATGCTTAGCATTAATTATTATTTATATTTAATGTAAATATTTTATTATTATCAACAAATAAACATGATATGATTTAATATTTTTTATTTATATTATTATATTTTGAAATGAAAATAAATTTATTTATTTGCTGTTTTTTAATAAAAAAAAAATAACATGCTGCTATATTGTAAAAATGTAATATTCTTTTTAATATAATTTATTAGTGATTTTCACAATCTTCTTTGTAAATACATCTTTTATTGAGGAATTATATTGTAAATTTTATTAGATAAATACACAATCTTTTAGGTGAAATCTTTTTTAAAAATTTTATCATTTTTTTCAAATTATCTATATTTTATTAAATGAGATGGATTTTATGAAACTTTTTTGATGTTATTTTATATGATCTTTTTAAGGATAATATTTTAATGTGACAATTGTCATAATCGTTATTTTAAAGTTTTTTGAAGAAAATATGTCAAAATAAGTATTAATAACATGTGTTAATATAAATTTAGTGAAAATATACCAATGAAAAGTGACAATTGTCATAATCGTTATTTTTAAAGTTTTTTTGACGATATGTTAAAATAAGTATTAATAACATGTTTAAATAAAAATTTAGTGAAGATGTACCATAGAAAATTTATAATTGTCATAAACGTTATTTTATAAGTTTTTTGATTTTTTTTGAAGAAAATATGTTAAAATAAGTATTGATAACATGTTTAAATAAAATTTAGTGAAGATGTACCAATGAAAAGTGACAATTGTCATAATCGTTATTTTTAAAGTTTTTTAACGACAATATGTTAAAATAAATATTAATAACATGTGTAAATATAAATTGAGTGAAGATGTACCAATGAAAAGTGACAATTGTCATAATCGTTTATTTTAAAGTTTTTTGACGAAAATATGTTAAGTATTAATAACATGTGTAAATATAAATTTAGTGAAGATGTACCATAAAAAAGAGACAATTGTCATATTGTATTAGAAGAAAAACTTCTATATGATTGTAAGAAATTTAATTATAGCACCAAAATTTTTAACAGTTAATTTGCATCGATATTGATTTTAAAATAGAAAAAAAAGTTTACCCAAATTTTAAACAAGATTGTCTGATGAAAATTGGCAAAAAAATAATAATTTCTAACTTAGGATTAGATATTATGATATAAATTTTGCATATTAATTTCTGACCCGATGAACGGATGTAATAAAATGCCAATTTGCTCCTGTTTTTGGGGAAGAATCTATTATTATCATATGTTTTTTCTATGGCACATACTCAGGCAATTTTAATTTTACAATCTATATTTTTACCCATTTACATCAAAGAAATTTTAAAAACTTTTAAAATAACGATTATGACAATTGTCACTTTTCTATGGTACATCTTCACTAAATTTTTATTTAAACATGTTATTGTGCTGAATTTTGATTATTTTTTTATAAGTAAATAAAGAATTATATTTTTTTGGTTAATTTTTTTTTGTAAAAATAATAATACCGAAAATAAATAAAGAATTATATTTTTTTTTTTGTAAAAATAGTAATACCAAAAATAAATAAAGAAAAGTTTATAAAAACGCGTATTTTTTTTTATTTTATCATTAAGAAATTTTTGTGTGTAAAAAAAAAGAATATTTGTAACCCATATGCTATTGGAAAATAAAGATACTTAAAAAGAAGGGAAATATTTCAAGAGTAAACAATATATACTTATAAAATAGAAATTATCGAACTGTATAAATTTATAAAATAATATTTTTTTTTGAAAAAACTATTCCGAAATTTTGTAACATATCAATATCTTGAATATAATCATCCTATTTCAAATAAAATTTAGGAAATTTAATACTATTTTACAAGGTTACCTCGAATTCCTCATCAAATTTAGAAGCAATTTCTGGAGGTAAACTTTGTCCTTCCAACATTTATTGACTTTGTGCGGGAAAACCTCGAAGAAACCCATAGGCTGCGGAAAACTTAAAAATATATATGGCGGAACCGACGCTAGATCACATTCATGGCCTTGGATGGCTGTTATCCTAAATGAAGATGCTGATAAAGTTGAATGTGGAGGCTTTTTAATATCGCCTAAAACCATAATAACTGCCGCACATTGTGTTAATTCCGAAAATTCCATAGATTTTCTGGTCGGATTAGGAGTTCATGACATTGAAAATATTCAAGAAAATGATCTTTACAATATTTATAAAATTATAATTCATCGAGATTTTAACGTTATAAATGCCGACAATGACATAGCTATAATAGTCCTCAAGGATTCGGCAGATTTTTCCGATAATATTCAACCCATATGTTTACCTTCTAAAGACATCGATGAAATAAAAAAATGTTATTCCAGTGGTTGGGGATCGACTTATAGAAACAGCGGTCAGTCTCGATATATAAAACAAGTATGTTTGCCGCTCATACCCTGGAAAGACTGTAAAGATATATATGGTAATGATTTGACAAAAAATATGATATGCGCTGGGGATATCAAACGAGGAGTGATAGACACTTGTGAGGGAGATTCAGACGGGCCATTAATGTGTTACACAAACAAATGGGAAGTTTATGGAATAACTAGTTGGGGCTATGGGTGTGGTGAGCCAAACAATCCAGGGGTCTTTACCGACATTAATAGATTTATAGATTGGATCGAAGAAAACAAGGTGTAAAAACAATAGTATATACTTAAAAATATTCGTAATTTATAAATAATTATTTATTTTAAATATCGATTTATAAATGAAATTCACGTTTTAGATAATAATAAAAAGGGAGTTTTGAAATTCGCGAATATGTAAAAAAAAAAAATTTCAAAAAAAAATATTATTTTATAAATTTATACGGTTTGATAATTTCTATTTTATAAGTATATATTGTTTACTCTTGAAATATTTCCCTTCTTTTTAAGTATATTTATTTTCCAATAGCATATGGGTTACAAATATTCTTTTTTTTTACACACAAAAATTTCTTAATGATAAAATAAAAAAAAATACGCGTTTTTATAAACTTTTCTTTATTTATTTTTGGTATTACTATTTTTACAAAAAAAAAATATAATTCTATATTTACTTATAAAAAAAATATTCAAAATTCAGCACATGTTCCCACCGAATGAGATCCAAATTTATCACTACAATCCCAATAATTCTTCCAATTCCTGTGCTGACAGTTCTATCATAGGCCAGCTATCTCTTCCATCTATCTCAGAATCATTATTCATAGTCTCCCCCATGTAGGGTTCCACGACAGCCATCGGTACGACTGTATTCGGCCCGCTGGTTCCCCTAACCTCCGGCGTCCTCCGTCTCGTTACCGGTGGTAATACCGTACGTACCTGCCGTATTTACTCCCGACTGTCGTCTCGGCTCCTCTCCCTTGTTCGTTCATTATTTTCCCGATGGCGAACGTTGGATCTTCTATTACTCGGCCCACGGGGGCATCGGTCCTGCAAATGTTCTGTCGATCTGCATAGGTAGCACACTCGTCTTTGGTGCCGCAACCGCGTCTGTCTGGGTTCCGGCAACTCCGGACTACCATTCATTATCCTTGCCCCCCCCCTACCCGCCATTCCAGGTCGTACATTTGGCTGTCTCCTATCCGTCGTTCCGCTCCCCGATGTTCTCTGCACAGCTGGTCCCTGTCTTAATGGAGGTAATTGTTGGCCCTCCTCATCCACATATCCTCGGAAAACGCTAACTCGAACGTGGTACGTACGGTATTACCACCGGTAACGAGACGGAGGACGCCGGAGGTTAGGGGAACCAGCGGGCCGAATACAGTCGTACCGATGGCTGTCGTGGAACCCTACATGGGGGAGACTATGAATAATGATTCTGAGATGGATGGAATAGATAGCTGGCCTATGATAGAACTGTCAGCACAGGAATTGGAAGAATTATTGGGATTGTAGTGATAGGATTTGGATCTCATTCGGTGGGAACATGTGCTGAATTTTGATTATTATTTTATAAGTAAATAAAGAATTATATTTTTTTTTGGTTAATTTTTTTTTTGTTAAAATAATAATACCGAAAATAGTTATGAATATCATTTTAACATATTTTCGTCAACAAAAATAAAAAAACTTTAAAAATAACGATTATGACAATTGTCGCTTATCTAGAGTACATCTTCACTAAATTTTTATTTAAACATGTTATCAATACTTATTTTAACATATTTTCGTCAAAAAAATTCAAAAAACTTTAAAAATAACGATTATGACAATTGTCAATTTTCTATGGTACATCTTCACTAAATTTTATTTAAACATGTTATCAATACTTATTTTAACATATTTTCGTCAAAAAACTTTAAAATTAACGATTATGACAATTGTCACTTTTCATTGGTACATCTTCACTAAATTTATATTTACACATGTTATTAATACTTATTTTAACATATTTTCGTCAAAAAATTCAAAAAACTTTAAAAATAACGATTATGACAATTGTCAATTTTCTATGGTACATCTTCACTAAATTTTATTTAAACATGTTATCAATACTTATTTTAACATATTTTCTTCAAAAAATTCAAAAAACTTATAAAATAACGATTATGACAATTGTCAATTTTCTATGGTACATCTTCACTAAATTTTTATTTAAACATGTTATTAATACTTATTTTACATATTGTCGTCAAAAAAACTTTAAAAATAACGATTATGACAATTGTCACTTTTCATTGGTATATCTTCACTAAATTTATATTAACACATGTTATTAATACTTATTTTGACATATTTTCTTCAAAAAACTTATAAAATAACGATTATGACAATTGTCACATTAAAATATTATCCTTAAAAAGATCATATAAAATAACATCAAAAAAGTTTCATAAAATCCACCTCATTTAATAAAAAATAGATAATTTGAAAAAAATGATAAAAATTTTTTTAAAAGATTTCACCTAAAAGATTGTGTATTTATCCAATAAAATTTACAATATAATTCCTCAATAAAAGATGTATTTACAAAGAAGATTGTGAAAATCACTAATAAATTATAGTAAAAAGAATATTACATTTTTACAATATAGCAGCATATTATTTTTTTTATTAAAAAAACATCAAATAAATAAATTTATTTTCATTTCAAAATATAATAATATAAATAAAAAATATTAAATCATATCATGTTTATTTGTTGATAATAATAAAATATTTACATTAAATAAAATAAATTATTTTACTAAAATAAATAAATAATAATTAATGCTAAGCATCGATGCAGAATTTTGACTAATTTAATTTTAGCCGATTTGTAGGTTTAGTTAGACGATTTTTAGGCTTAACCTAATAAGACTTATCCAGGCTTAGCCTAATTAGGTATAGGCGTAGTTTATAGCCGATTACGCAACACTAGTTGTGAACTAACATACCTAAAAACGGGAATAATTATGCTTTCTGCATTTTCTGTTCGAGGTTAAAAGCCTCTTTAGGCTTTGTAAAGAGGATTGATTGCCTATATTTAAAAAAATGACATGTGGCCTAGACAGGAAACCATGATAGGAATTAAAATGAATTAATTTTGAACCTAGTAGAGAAAAAAATTATAACTGAATTGTTTTTGGTATTCATAAATAATTTTTATTATTGTGATAGTGATTTCCTAAACCCAAATGTAAAAAAAGAGCTATAATTTATGATTAGGCAATCAGGAAAAGAAATAATAGTACTTACCAGTATTGTGACCGCCTACCATAGACACAAATATGATTAGCAAAAATATAATGTATAAAATAGAAAAAAAAAGAAAATTATATGCCTGAAAGATAGCTTTTTTATAAATTTATTTTTATTATACAAGGTTTCCCTTATTTTCTAAAAGATACATACATTAATGAGAGCACATTCAAAACATAATGGATAATAAAAATGTCAATACCCCAATTTCTACCGTTCTTTTGAAAGTTCATTTTAAAAGGACTTTTTAATGAATTTTATCTTTATTTATCTACTAAACTTATTCAATTTAATAAAAATGCTACAACAAAGATAGATCAATAGAAATAAGTATTTTCAAGACGTCAAGTGAATGGTGCCATCTATATTTTATGTGTATGGGTGATAATATGATGGTTATTAATAAAAGGAAAAAAATGATTTTCTTACATGCCTACCTTCAAAATTTTAATCTCTCGATTACTTTCCAAATAATATATCAAGTCATCCAAACAAACTAATGAGATATTATAGTATAAAAGAAATCAAAATATTGTTTTAAAAAAGCAGTTGATTGTAATGAGAGGCAAATAGTTTTTTAGTGAATATATATAGATAAGTAAAAAAAATTTTTTTAAATAATCTTTATATTGATTTTGTTGGAAAGAATGGTAATTGACATTTTTTAAAATATTTTATTTATGATGCTCGAATTAAAATGGGATAACCATATAAAAAATGTTGTTCACATATTTTGTGCTCTCGTGATGATATTTTCTGTTGGAAAACAACGGAAAATCCTGTAGTTCTATCTTATGTACGAATCATGCCAGTGGCGTCGCTAGGGGGGAGCGCACAGGGGCTCGAGCCCCCTGAAAAATTTGAAAAGCCCCCTGAAGCAAATTTTTTTTTAATGGCTCCTTAATATCCCCTTGAAATAAAAATGAATTTTTTTTGATAGCTCCCTGAATGATTTCTTTTATAATTCCATTAAGTAATATATAGATTTAATTTTATTATTTAGAAATTAATAAGACTATTTAAATTTTTATTAAATGAATACTATTTTAATTATTAGATTAGATTAATACATATAAATTATATTTTCACTGTCAGCTTGCAATCAAATTTTGTATTAAAAATATAATATTAACTCACTAAATATTAATTTAGCTTTAACGGTTGAAGTTTAATTGACTTTTATTATTTAAATTATTATATAACCCTAATTAAATAAATATAATCATATATTATTTAAAAATAACAAATTTAATATTGTAATTAGCCGAGTTCAAAATGACTAATCAACTGTATATTTATTTTTAAATTTAATTATCATACCTATTTCTAAAAATATTTTCAAGATCCAAATAAGTATAAGAGATTTCTTTATAAAAAGTAAGTAGACATATAGTTTATAATCCTCTACTTTATACAGTTGTTTATAAAATATCAGATATAATGCTACTTTTATGGACGTATTTGACAGTTATATAATATATTACAGTTAATATTATAATAAATTTTACTAATAAATGGTTTTGATAATAAATATAATAACAAATTGCATTCAAGTATTTACCGCCATCTATTTAGTTATAAATAATTTTAAAAATTACACATTTTATTATTCATCTTGCAATAGATGTAATAAATTTGATATCTTTTTTTTTCTTCTCTTTTCTATTTTTTTCTTTTTCGAAAAACAGTTTTGAATTAAATTTTTAATACAAGTATATTTTTGATATACAAACTAATATTATTTTAAGATACAATATCGACAATATATAAAATCTTAATTGTTTCATCATATCATTCTGGTCCTTATTTTACAGTTAGAAAATGTTTCATTTCTAATATGGCATTACTGTGTGTAAATAACTCCAGGCTGCAATATATTTGCATAATTATTTCTTTCAAAGATTTTTAGTATTTTTATTTTATCAATTTATCCAACAAAATAAATTCTGATATAAGTTTACATCGTGAGTGTCATGGATGGCTATTACTGCAAATTAACTAGTGTATATTATTTGTGTTGCTATGTAAATTAAGATTATTACAACAACGGCTGAGAGAATATGATTGCATATTTTAGATAAACAATAATGGTCAACTGTGTAGTCGTTTATATATCATTTAATGGAAGATAATCTTTTAGAAATTTAGTATCTCACGATAATTTTCTCGATTACTTATCTAGCTTACATCATGTCATCTAAAAGGATGCTCTAACCACCATATAGTTTTATGATTTGGATTGGTCGTTTATACTCTTTTCTTCAAAAATTGTTGATTTGGTAGAGGCCTATAAAATTTTTCCTTATTAGTTTATTGTATATAACATTGTCTAAAATGGTAACAGATAGTTATAGTAGTTTAATAACCTTTTGTCAATGTAAGTTGCTAAGAATTATATTAATGCATTATGTGTTTTTTATATGCCAGTTAATTTTGTATGCATAATATAATAAATGACAAAATATGAAAATCAGAATAATTGTTCAGTTAACTAATTTAAAAAAGAGTATAATATATTAATATAAAACCCGGCCGAAGCCCGGGCAAAAGCGAGCCGAAGGCCCCCATAATTTTTTTTAGTTGAGCCCCCTGAGATTGTAAAGGCTAGCGACGCCCCTGAATCATGCAAAAAGTTTAAATTTATCGATATTTTTTGTTGCACCCAAACAAAAAATTTATTATTAGTCTAAACATATACAATAAATAATTTTAAAGTAGCTCTATGAACTTATTCTTTTGATTCAAGGAGATAAAAGAAACTCAAGAAAAGGATTTTATATAATAATATAAACCTATAGGATCACATCCACAAGGCTCACAAGACCGGTCGGATAAACCCGAAGGACTGACCCCTTCGTAATAGTTCTCCTTGCAACGCTCGCAGTGAGGTCCATCCGTATTTCGCTGGCATTCTATACAGTGTCCACCCTGTCCAGTTCGTCGGTAGAGATCCTCATCAAAGTAGCAACGGTCAGAGAGTCCGTTGCAATCACAAGCTAACAAGGGTAGGAGGGTTATAAAAAATGTATAATATCAGACTTGTTTTGATTGATTTTTTTTGTTTTATAAAATTATCCCCTGCACACTTTAGTGTCTGTGAATTCCTTAAAAAACAGGAGTGGGTTTAGTGAAAACTCTATGAACCAAGATTTGGGTTCAGGAAGCAAAAAATAAATAAGTGCATAGATATTTTCTATAGAAATTAAAAACCAAGTTTTTACAAAATCTTCTAAAATATCTTCATTAACAATTTTATTTAATACCGACAACATCCATTTCAACGAAGAAAAAGCTTGTTCTAGACTAATCAATTTTGATTTTAGATACCCATCCTAACTAAATAATGATATTGAAATCTCAATGGATCACTGTATGATATAATATTATTTTACCTTATTGTTTTGATGTTTATTCTCTCTTTTTGTCTTATTCATTTAATCTATAATATTTCAACAAACAACAAATATCTCTAAAAATAAATCGTATCTATTAAACAAATATGATATAAAATAATACAAAATTGAGGTTTAAAAAGCGGTAAACAACAAAATAAAAATGATTCCATGAAAAAATGGGTTCAGTAAAATCATAAGTGATCATTGGGTTTTGGTTCACAGTTATGCGGTGATAGTCGTTTTAAAATTATTCGAATTATATATTTCCTCTTGTATAAGCGTTTTCATATTGAATGAATACATCAAAAAGAAGATTTTTTATTATTAATCCTTAGCATTTAAATTTTTTTAAATATAAATGATGGGTAAATATATCGCTATATCAAGTTTATTTTCAACTTAAATATCTCAGCACTAATATCCATTGATGTATTCGATGTGAATAAAGCACATATATAAAATATATAATCAAATCCGAAACTCACGTAGACACTCAAATCCGTTGGAAGCGGTGGCGCGTTGCCATGGACGATCGTTGTAAAAAGGTGCGCATGTCTCGCAGTCTGCTCCCGCCGTGTTGTGTTCACAGCGGCATACGAGGCGTTGTGGGAGGCCCTGACCAGTGCTGGGAACACACTCCTTGGCATGACCGTTGCATTTGCACCTGTATGTTTTTATAGGATATTTTTATGTATTTAAAGCTAAGCAGAAATACCAATCATTCTACGTATCAAATAATGAGAAGATGTTGGATCAATATGTGGAGAAAAATATTCTGCTATTTTCATATAAAAATCTGATATTTCAAACCAATATACTAGATCTATAATCATATGAGGCCTAAAAAAGTATAACTTAGGTCCGGCCCTGATTTTTTTGGCCATATAGAGTACAAACTTTAAAAAATCAGATTTTTTACTTTTTTAAAAAAAAATCAATATGATTTAAATATACTGTGACTAGAGGGGAAGTTTAAAAAAATTTAATATTTTTAAAACAACGGGCTAACGGGAAAAAATATTTTGGACGGAATGAGCAGGAAGGGCTTAAATTGAGTAAAAAATTTTATTAAAATAATTAAAGAACCAATCCAACCAATTAAATAATTTTTAAAAATGAGCGAGCTCTGGTAGATTAAATAAACTTTCACACAATGACTGGACAGGTTAAAACTTGCCCAATGCAGACCTCTAAAGGGATTACCTTTTGTTTCATTGTATTTAAAATTGTTGCGATAAAAATTTTCATGTTTAACTTATTGAATTTATATATCAAAATCGCTATCTGTAATTCTAGAATGAGGAAAAAATAAGCACTCTAAATTCAATAAAAATAATTCTTTTTTATTCAAATCCTAAAAGAATATTTTAAAATCTAGAAATACTGCATTATAAACATTTTTAAAATAAAATATAAAATATTTTACAAGGCAAATTGAGGCCCGAGCGCTGGATTCTAATAAAATGAAGATTTTATATAAACAATGGCAAAAAATCTCTAATGATCGTTAAAAAAGTTTATTTGTATAAAGTTTTTAATAATTAAATTATATAAAACTATAAAACTCTGGAATGTGTCCGAGTATTGTAAAAAAACAATACAGTATTATTATATAAAACTCCATAAGATTGTGTACAACTCTCTAAAAATGTTTTTTTTTAGAAATAATAAGTTATTGTTCTAAGCTCATTATTTATTTCATATCAAATGAAATATTATCGTAGGTTAGTTTAATTGGCATTGATTTATGGTATCTTTTATAAAAATATATAAACTAAAATTTGAAAACCTTAAAAATTTTTGAGGATGTGAAGGAGAAGCTGCATAACAAGAGAAATAAGGGAATAGAAAAAAACTGAGATAAATTGACTGTTTTTTAAAGACCCGTATAATAAAAAGTTCATTCGTATTACATCTAAACGATATACAAATATTAAACTAAAGCAAAATTTAATATAAAATGATAAATAATAACCTTCCTCCGACGGCGAAATCGGAAATGGCATAGTAATAGGACTTCAATACCTTTGGATCTTGGAAAAGTTCGTCGCCAAAAGTATTCAAACGATTCAGGACAATTCTGATATCGGTGGCTGTCACCCATTCCTTTTTTTAAACAAAAGATAACGATATTTTTCATAAAATGGTAAATTTTTTAAAGATCTTATGCTTTAAGATAAATAGTAAAAAAATTAACTTCTAATCCTTCAGCACAGGTGAAAAAAAATAACATGAAAATCAAGATAGAATTCCCTAGGAAATTAGATTTATTTGTAGCTTTCATATTTTAAATTGTTTACCACAGTTTTTATCAAGAGCCAAAAAAGTTACAAATTATTTTAAAATGTCGCCATATAATATAAAACAAGTATATAAATCAAATTAATAATTTTATGCTACCCTTTGCACTTTGTAAAGCTAGGCAACGACTTAAATATTTTACTATAAATATTGCTACAAATGATATTATGCTCTAAGGTGCCTTGTTTGTATATTCTAAGCAACATATATATTTAATAATAAAAAGTTCAATCGTGAATATAATATTCCTTTTTGTATATATTAGCATAGATCTAATTTTCCCTTTTTATAAAATGGTTACCTTACAGTGTTGTTAAAAGCTACTTTTAAAATTAGCGCGCTATCGCTACGCGGTATTAGCTACTTTAAAAAAAAGTATATAGCTACTTTTAAAAAAAGCTACTTTAAAAAAAGTAGAAATTTTTAAAAAATATTCTTTAAAGTATCTCAATTTCCACAAATAAATAATATTACTAAAATTTCAAATGCATATATATTTATTTATTTTTTATTGCATCTCAATAATTATAACATTTCCATACTGTCATCCGCAAGTCTAGAGCATCAGAAAATATAAGCTATGGCCAAATAATCGTTCAATACTAGCACAAAATGCAGTATTATATTAAATATACATATTTTTTTATAAGAAAAATCATCAAAAATATTCATTTGAGTATTTTTAGATTTAAAAAAACGTCTAAAGAATTTTCAATAGTATTATTAATTATTTCAGAAAAATATCTGGCTAGGATCAGTCAAAAATTATGATAGTAATATAATAATAATTATGTAGGGGATAAGTGGATGGCCATGTTTGCCAACTAGTAAGACCACTACTCTTTAACTTTTTATCTATTGAATAAATTTCTTTCAAAATTTAAAATGTGAAATGATTTGAAATAAATATTTTTTAGCATGTTTGGATAAAATTTATAAATATATAAGTGGTTTTTTAAGCATGCTTAACATCCAGATAAAACTATTATCATTAAATAGATGAGTCTATAAAATGAAATGTTAATTATTTATTGTAATTTTTAATTTATAATATCGTCGGCCTAGATTGGAGTACCCACTTGCGCAAATGTTTAAAATGAAAATTAAAGTTTAAAATAAAATATAGAAAAAACCTATTGATCAATTTTGACAATAACTTTGGCAAAAATTAATGTTTATTAATCTAGTTTTTATTTTTATGTATATTGAAAATAAATGAGTTATTATAAGCCAACTCATAATTTTTGAATGTTTAAAATGAGAAAATCAACATTAAAGTTTAAAATCAAATATAGGAAAAACCTATTGATCAATTTTGACAATATTGGCAAAAATTAATATTTTTTAAACTAGTTTTATTTTTATTTAAATTTGGAATAAATAAGTTATTATCCATTTCTAAAAATTTTGAAAATGTCGAGTGGAGCACTCCAATTCTAGACCGACGATATAATTCTTAAATATCTAATGGCCAGTTGAAACTTACCATGCTTGGACTGGGCTAGAAAATCAACTTTCATATAAACTTATCTAGCTCAAAAACGATTATAGATCAAATTATAAATTAAAGATCAAGGATTGGGCTACACATTCTAATTCGCTAAAGATTGGGAATCTAGCTTATATCTCCTATAAAATTTTAAGAGTAATATTGAAAATAATATCAATAGATTCTAGGAAGTAGTGTTGTTAAAAGGCCCAATTTGAGGCTTAAAAACGGCCAGATTAATATATTAGCCAAAATAATATTGTGTAAACCTCAAGATTTGGCAAGTAGAAGCCCAAACCTTTCTGCCATTTATGAGCAAATTCGCCAGGCTTATACAATATTATTTTGGTTATAATCTTAATCGGACTGTTTTTAAAAATCGACCCTAATCGGGCTTTTAACAACACTACTAGGAAAAACACTTATATTTATGAGTTTTTAAAAAATGGCTAAAAATGGAGGAAATAATATTATTTTTCCCAGAATTAGGAACATTTGGGAATATTGATAATATTCCCTCATTTTCAGCGATTTTTTAAAAAAACTCAATTTAAATACAAATGTTTACTCCCCCAGCATTTATTAATATTTATTTCAAATACTTTAAAGAATTTCTAGAGATATAAGCGAGATTCCTAATTTTTTTTTTGTTTTTAGCCATTTAATGGGAACCAAATTTGTTTGATATATTACTTTTAAATGCTTTCTCGTTGAAGCTGTTAGTCTTGTAATGAAAAACTTTCCGGTTCTTACAATGAAATTAAAACCTTTAATTTTTTTATCGAGATTAAATGCTAATTCAGGAAAAGGAAATTCCATATTTTCATCATTTTACAGGGAAATTACGATTTGTAGCAAAATTATCTTCAATATAATCTTTATTGTCGACATTTTAAAAACTAGGCTTATAAAGCAGTTTTTAAAAATAAATTTCAATTTCAAAATTAAATAAAAAGATTATAATTTTAAAATTAATTATAAATATATTTTAATAATTTATATTTGTATTTATTATATAAATTGAAAGTAGCGAAGTAGAGCGTTATTGTGCTACTTTCTAAATTAGTAGCGAGCTACTGTTCGCTATTTTTTTAAAGTAGTGCGCTAAATCTACCGCCTGAAAAAGTAACGCGCTAACTTTAACAACACAGCTACCTTGATAATTTAAATTTATTTTTCTTATTTTGATTCATTATAATATAAATCATTCAAATTCTAGTGGATTTCTAAAAAAAATTGAAAACTGCTAAAAAATAATTTTATTTAATATAATTATTATATTTTTATAAATCTATTATAATAATCCTCAAAAAAGGTCAATCAAATTTAAAATAGTGTTCTTTAAAAAATATTTGTCCAATGATAATCATCATAGCAATTTTAAGCCAATAGTAATTAATATGTGATTTGTAATATGGCGAATTTCTTCAATCTTGGGCTTGGTTTAGCTGATATGTGATGATGGCACTTTCAGAAATAGTAGTTTATAAATCAGAGTAAATTTTAAAATTAATAAATAATTTTTAATTATTTTAGAGTTAGAAAATCAAACATATTATTTGAGAAATATAGATTTCCAAACTGCCTTGGCTCATTAGATAGTAAGCACATAAAAATCAAAAGTCCTGCAAAATCTGCAATTTTTTTCAATTAATAATATATATCAGATACCTGCAGGCCCGGCCCTAAACCCGGCCCGGGCCGTATTTTAAATTTTTTAAATATACCCGGGCCGGGCCTAAAAAATTTTTTTTTAATATATCCGGGCCAGGCCGGGCCTAAGATTGTTAAACCCGGGCCGGGCCTTTTTATAAAAAATTTTTACATTATTAGTTAATGGTTATAAGATTATATTATATTATAGTTATGATTAATATAATATTGGGTGATGATTAACACTACCTAACAACCTACAGATCGATCTAATTATTAATTTCCTGCAAATTTTTTCAAAGTATTAATATAGCAAATTTTTTCAAAGTATTAATATATTTTTTTATAATTCATATCTAAATTTTTACAACATATTTTACCAAAACAATCAAATAAAGGAATATCTTAAATAAGCCCCAATATTCAAGTATTATTAATATATTTTTTTATAATTCATATCTAAATTTTTAGAATATATTTTACCAAAACAATCAAATAAAGGAATATCACTTCTTAAAGTTTGTAATACCTTTCAAAGCGAAAAAGGAGAAATAAAATTGATTTTACTTAATATAAAGCATTTTTTAATTGAAAAATTTGTTTTACACAAGTATCATTTTATTTCTCTTTTTCTCTGTCCCAAATTCAAGCAATTACGTATGTAGTCAGGGACAGATCGCAAAATGACGGAAAACTATATAAAAGATTATATTAAATTACAAGAGGCTCAGGAAGTAAATGAAATACCATCTACCAGTCAAATTACGACTGTTGTTAAACAAACTGAATCGTTTTATGACAAATGGGGGGGGGGGGGGGTAATTCTGGTAATATGTCAATACCCGATGATGAATATTATAATTACATAAATAAAAAAATAGATGAAACATTTAATGTGGATAATTTGTTAGAGTGGTGGGCGGCTCATCAAAGCGAATTTCCAATTTTAGCAAAATTGGCAAAACGGGTATTGGCAATTCCTGCTTCAAGTGCAAGCTGTGAGCGGAATTTTTCCACTACTGGGAGAATTCTTGAAGAAAGAAGAAGTAATCTTCAACCTGAAAAGGTAGATATGCTTCTCTTTCTTCATGATAATTTGTGAATTTTTAATATTTTCTTGGTCAATCATGCTGGTTTTTTACTTTGCAAACTGTCAAATATTTATTGCATTTATTATATTTACCTTGAGTCATGAAAGTTTTTAATCCAACATTTTTCATTATTTTTTTTTACAATATTATATAATACAATTATCTTCTTTTGTTAAAAATTTATATTATAAAATAAATTATATTAATATTGTGCAATTAGATTATATTTTCAAAATACTATTTATTATACATGCATTTTTTTAAATAGCGATTTATTTTTATTTTATAAATTAAATAGTAAATTAAATACAATATATTATATTCTCAAAATATTTTCCATTTTTATAAATTAAATATTAGTTTTATTTTTTTTAAATGTAATATAAAATATAGTATATGACAAATATTATTACCATTTTTATGAATATTAGTTTTATTTTTATAAATGCAATATAAAATATAATATATGCTCAAAATATCCATTATTATAAATAACAGTTTTATAATTTTTATAAATTCAATATAATATTCTCAAAATATTAGCTTTTACATGTATTTTTTAAATAATAAGC